ACCGATTTTAATGAAATTTGGTATGGAGGTACTCTGATTTTTTCAGATTCTTTTTACCGCGGTAACCGAGATAGTTCTGATTGGTTGCCCGTTAAATCACGCTAGAACGGCTAAATAGATCAGGAAGAAATTTTGCACAATAATAAAATGCATGAAGCCAAAGGCAGAACTTGTGTTCTACGTAGAGTATTTCCCTGCGATAGAATACCGTTTATCACGACATAAAGTTGTGTAAATAGCTATATTATATTACTATTGTGTAGTAACTGTATTGCGTCCGTTAGGTCCTATGTTTATGTAAGCGAGTGTGCTCCAAAGTCGACTGTTTTACATATTTGCAAACAAAAAATATGTATTTCAACTGTGACAGTAATACGAGACAATTTGTAACATAATTGGTATTGTGAGCACTTTGTCAACCTTATAAGTAGTATAGTTATATTAATTTATTTAATTCTTCTGTAGGTGTGTTTGTAACCTAATTAACCTAAAAGGCTGGACCGATTTAGATGCAATTTAGTGTGTATATTTCAATGGGTTCCTGGATGGTTTGAAAACACAATTGGTGCGAAGAATCTCCGGGCTACGGGAGGCCACCAAACCCGACTGTGGAACTTGGGAAGATTAGATGGCATATCCTAGGGCTATGTAAAGTCCAAAGAGAGTGGGAGGACACCATAACGTGGCGATGGGTTTCTATTAAATTAGTCCCTTTCTGACAACGTTGTGGAAATTTCCAGTGTGTCGGACAGGGTAGCGTACCTCATTATCAAGCTCACCGAGAGTATAGCCTCAAGGTTGTGCAAGTGTACTCGGCACACTCGGACGACGATTATTTTGATTTGATAAAAGGAATTTTGATTATAATGAAACCTGCTGATCACTCATAACCAAAAAAAAATAACCAATAAAGGCTTCCCAAAAAGGTGGTGCACAGACAGAAAAGTAAGTCTTTTTTTTATCCCAGCTTTTAGAAAAAATAATTAAAACAGTTATCTTTATTGCCACTATATCCTGTTTTTTTCTGAGATAAGTAGACAGGAATAAGTTTTAAAGTAAACTTACACTTACACTTTATTTTTTTAAACATTTTAATTAAAGGAGACAAGCAAGGAGACGAGTCAACTGATAACTACTGCCACCCATGGACTCCTTCAGCTGAAGAGTAGACAAGGTACAAAATCACAGTGAACTGTGAATGAACAGTGATTTATCATTCGATTGTTTCGTACGTTACTACTGACTCACGAGTTGTTGCAAATAAGCTGTTTTCAGACGATGCATAAAGACATTATTTCGCTTATTTAACAGAAAATCTAGTAATTACTTTATTATATATAGCTACCATTCTCTACATAATAATAAAAATTACTAGATTTACTGTTAAATAGCGTTTAACCTACCTACTTAGCAGCCCTAACCTAAGTACGCAAAAATCGAATGATAAATCACAATTTACTGTGATTATGTCCCATGTTTACCGGAGACCCAAGTGTGTTGCTGGGGGATCGGTGGGGAGGGAGGAGGGGAGAGGTTGATCCTCCGCTAACCTCACATACTCGATAAAAAACTAAGAAAGAATGTCTTAACATCTGTTTTCTGTAAGTGCCAGTAGAGCCGCTTACCTCACCTACGGTTATCATGATGTCAAACTATAGAAAATTTGGCAGCATGAATGGCGTGGTGGTTTAAGCGGTCGCCACGCCGCTTTCTACTACGCTGAGTGTTGTGGGGTCGATCCCCGCATGGGACAACACCTTGTGTAATCCGCAAATTCTTGTTCTGAGCCTGGGTGTTCTTTGTATCCATTTCAGGTATGTTCATTAAGTCTCCCGCGACACAGGATTCCTAAAGCGGGAGATGTCTTTAAAAAATAATTCTTAATAAATACATGATCAGGAAAATAACCCACTGATTCGTACAATAAGTAATGAACCATTCCACTTTTAGGGTCCCGTACCTCAAAAGGAAAAAACGGAACCCTTATAGGATCACTTTGTTGTCCGTCTTTCTGTCTGTCAAGAATCTTTTTCTCGGAAACGCGTGGAAATTAAAACCATATACTCAGGTCTACGGTCCCTTGAAGATGTTAAATATTGTTACGAGCGGGGTATATAATAAATAAAAGTTGTCGGTTAATTACTTTTATTGCGCTGTATTTATAAACACACACACACACTATATCAAACAAGAAATCACTATATAAGTCGTTAGTCACACTAGAAGTTCACTTCGATGTTAATTCGTTGTGTACTGTCTCGTACGACCAACACGCTCCGCTTTTATACTTCTATCGAATTTACTAGAATGATCTATGATGATTACTAGAATAGTATTGGATAGTCCGTTCCAGACAAAAAAGAATATTCGCGCTGTAGGTATCAGAATGATTAATCTCACAATCTCAATAGTTGTGCTTTACGTGACACTAGATGGTGCTGTCATACATTCCATACAATTCTGGAACAATCGAACTATTAAATCCTATGGCGCAACAATAATCAAACTCCTAAGTTAATTTTTATCTAATACTGAATAAATCGTGGTATACTTTTAATGGAATCACTGTCTAGATCGTCAATTTAATGGGAGTCAGTTTAGTTTGTGTCATCTGTGTATTATTATTATTATATTTCACATACCAGGTCACATACCACGATGCTTTCAAGGAAATTCATCCCGTTATAAATATTGACTACCGATACTGTGGGGGAGTCATTCTTCGACATTTGTATGTGGGCCAGGCTGGACCGGTGTAATACTACGGCCTCGCAGAAAACCGGTGTTAAACAGTTCTTTCGTTACTTTTCACCGAGTGAGTGTGGTATACCGGAGCCCAAAGGGGAGGGACTTAACACTTCACATATTACCCCTCTGATAAGCCTCTGATGGTACTGTACAGTGTAGCGGAATATCAGAGGTTACAGGCCTTTTTTTCTGCTTACTTATGTCAGGTGCCCATGGGCGGCAGTATTCGTTTACCATCAGGTGACTAGTCTTTTTCTTTGCCTCAAATGCCAAAAAAAAACATTTAAGAAATCACAAAAGACATCAGGGTCCAAAAAGTGAACGACAATTGTTCATTGCCTACATTGTATGAACGAAAAACAAGGATTATTACAATAAAACCACAAAAAGTGTACGCAACTACCAGACCAAGTAGCCTCATGTTCTTCTAATCATCTCCACTCGATACAGAGACCATCGCCAACAGTAAACACATCTAACACAAAGTAAAAGGCTTGAGAGATATTTATGCTAATTGATTGCCTCGTACAGCAGCGCTGATTGATGCGATGGCTTGGAGTAACAAGCTGTACAGCAAACGGCCCCCATTATCAGCGCCCAGTTAGGAAGAGTAACTACCGGTTAAGAAAAACACTAAGAATTCGATGCGAGCGCGTCACTTATCACTTTATGGCCCTTTCAGATATCTACTTAATTAAATAATAACACAGTAAACTTTAACATAAATTAACATACAAAACATAAATAAATATTTTAATTTTATTAAGTATGTCCGTGTGGTGACGGATTAAGAATACGGAGCGTCACCACCCCTATTTATCCCGTGGGTGTCGTAAGAGCCGCCTAAGGGAGCAAACTACGCAGGACAACAGCTGCAAAGAGAATGAAATTTTGAAATAAACTCTTAAGATTTTGACCTACTATGCCACGCTAGCCAAGGGGGTGGCCGTTTGGCCAGCGTGGTATAGTGGTCCAAAATCTCTTTTCTAAGGAAAGGCCTATGTTCAGCAGTGGACTATTAAAGCCAGACGAGTGATTGATTTTTATTATTAAATTCTTTACTATTCCAATGGGCATCGAGACTTATTACAGAGGTAGGCCATGTCTGTGGTAGAAAATATTTAGAGTCCATCAATGTGCAGGATATTGCATGGCATACATGCCACCGACAGGTGGTATCCGAGGGGATTTCCGCACGGTAAAAAAAAAAAAAAAAAAAGGTGGAAATCGAACCCACGACATCCGACTCGCTAGCCAGGCCCTACAAAACCACCCGCCCGTACAAACCAACAGGCCCGTACAAACGAAAATTCAGCTAAATGGTTTCAGCGATTATTGATTTCTCATACAAACTGCCACCCCCCTTTTCACCCACTTAAAGGATGATTTCTGTGATAAAAACTATCCTATATCCTTTTCCGGGACTCAAACTATCTCTATACCAAAATTTCATCCAAATCGGTTCAGCAGTTTAAGCGTGAAGAGGTAACAGACAGACAGATAGACACACTTTCGCATTTATAATATTAGTATGGATTTTACTTGAAAATTTTAGCTTTCAGCACTTCTACGTAAAAACATTAAATATTCCAAATATAATATGCTGCCGTGCGCAAGATTTGTTTATGGTACATTCTTTACGTCTTAATAACAGATTTACTATTTTAATAAAATAAAAAATCCAGAAAGAACTTACACATGGGTTCATTGTAAACATATGTTCTACACGTTGTTGACCGACATCTGAATCACAACAGACAGGTTACAAAGTTGAGCTTCAACTTGGCTGCTTATCAGCTCAGTACTACGCACTCTGCATAGTCAATATTTAAAGTACGTGGGTATATATGAGCCAGGGCGCATTGCCTGCGGTACAGCTGATGCGCGCGCGCACCGCTGTCACATGGTAGCTTCGCGCGCGCCTCTCAACCGAATGAGAGACACATTCATTTAGTACTACAATGTTTTTAATTCGCATTTATAATGTGAATGTGATATAGTGTAAAAAAATATTCGAAGTAGATTAGACGAAAATAGTTTATGAAAGTTCTGTTTAAAAAAAAACTAAAATACGAGGAATCAATGAAACAATATACTACTACTATAGTCAAATATATTCTAAAATATGTAAAAATATGAGTAAACGTAAATAATTTCCATTTTATAAACGTTTTTTTTTCAATTTGTGTTTGGGTTTCGAACAGTTACAAGTGACGTTTCATTTTAATCGCCATTATACCACATAGTTAAAAATGGAAGATCTGAGTTCAGACAGCAAGCGAGTGCATCTCGACGAAGTGTTGGGTGATCTGGGCGCGTTCGGCCCCTACCAGCTGGTGACGATGGCCATGCTGGCATTGGTGTACGCCACTAATTCCATGTACAACGTCAACTATGTTTTCGCTGTCGAAGATGTTGGATACAGGTCAGAACAACTTTTAAATCAAATTAAAATGAAAAAAGTCTACTTCTCTTCCTAGTTATGTTACTACACAACGAACAAGCATTACAAGCTCTGCGATAATGTATGAGACTGATGCTGGCAATCGAACCTGGTGCCCACCAGGTTCGATTGCCAGCCAATGTAATTATTACCTAAAAGACGCATTCTTATATTCCTGTGTAAATAGATTTCAGTCAGGTTACCATGTATTGTCAGCGAGGAATATAATTCCTAAACATCTACCAAGTGCGATTACGTTGGTGTTTTGGAAAAACCGCCTAATTGTACTATTATAACAAATCGAAGGTTTTCCTTTATGTTTATATAAGTAAACTGAATTAATAATACAAAATACTAACAGTAGTATTAATAAGAAGGCCAGTAGTCCCTCCGAATCTCCGGCCCCTTGGGAACGCAGGACACGCAAGTGTTTCTATTAAAAAAACACCTCGACGGCCGGCCTCAAACGCGCTACCCTGGGGAGTACCCGGTCCATATAGTTTCAGGTTTTCTGATGTCCCTTACATAGTAGCTTCTCAAATCACAGGTTAGACCCGGACGGATCCATACGAGTACGCAACTCTGGTCTCTTGAAGCTACTGAAGTATTTGAGACTAACGGTAGTCTCTAAACTAGGTTCCTCGGCCTATCTGCTTTCTTTACTTTGCTTTCGCTTCTTCTGCCTACTCTTTTGCTTTCCTTCCTACAATTTTGATGATTATTAGGGTTGAACCCGTTAGGCAGGCGGCCAGCCATACAAGAAACTAGCCATAATTTTACCCCGGCTACCCCAAAATTTGAATCAGGGTAGGTAGATGATGATGATGGCAGCACAATCAGTCTCCAGCTAACCTTACAGCGAGTACTTGTAGTAAATTGATCGCTGGACAATCATTATGAACATTTATGTCATTTGGGAGCATGACTAACGTCTAAAGTTGTGACTGTAGGCGTCCCATACATGCCAACACCAACGGCATTCAACATTTATTTCTTTATTTTAATACGTATGATATTTTAGGACTCGATTACAATATTTCAAAGTTACATTATAGTAAAGTTGGTTAATTTGTTTCCGATATTCAATGTTACTAAACCAGTCAATTTCTTTTTATCATCACGTATCTCTCAGTCCTGACAACTGCTTAATTTACTGTTGAAATATTGTTGTGTTGAAATAAATTTTCTCCGTTTTTGAAACATTCTTCATTGGTGCTCCGCTCCTATTGGTCTTAGCGTGATTATATATAGCCTATAGCCTTCCTCGATAAACGGGCTATCTAACACTGAAAGAATTTTTCAAATCGGACCAGTAGTTCCTGAGATTAGCGCGTTCAAGCAAACAAACAAACTCTTCAGCTTTATAATATTAGTATAGATTAAATATTCCGTCACGAAAATATAAAGCTGGAAACCGAAAGATCTTGGGTATACTTTAATATATTTTTATATTAAGCAGCCTCAACCGTGGTCACAGATTGTTTTTCTTTTTTATAAAAGAGGTTACATAGTAGAAGGGCTCTTTATTGATTATTTTCTCACACATGGCCTTCTGATTCCAAACTAGGCAGAGCCTGTGCTATGGTAACCATTCTGCTGATTAACATGCTTATAAATTTCTAAATACATACATTTTATGGATAAATTACGCCCAGAATAGTATAGTAAATAGTGGATAAAACAATATAAATAACGTTTTTGTAATATGACAACCCGTCTGGCCAGCGTGGTATAGTAGGCCAAAACCTCTTTTCTAAGGAGAGGCCTATGTCCAGCAGTGGGCTATTAAAGGCTGTTGATGAATATGACAATGCGTCCTACGCACAAACACCAATAAAATTTCGTGTAATAAATTATAGTTATATCGTGTAGGTTGCGAGAAGCCAAAAATCGATCTAAGTGGCGTGTAATGAGATAGGCCTATGTCCAACAGTGGACTGCGATAGGCTGATGATGATGAAGCAATATAAAGTACTTAATAGCTACAGGTTGTCAAAATATAAGTTGAACCGTATTCTAATAAATGGTGACGTTCATGCCCCGCCTTAGAGTCCTTGTATAAATAGTGAACGTCCTCTTCCGCCTCCCCCGCGTTGTGTCGCTCGTCGTGGCCCCCGGCCTAGGAACGTGCTACTTACAGTTTTACTTTATATATAAATAGTTCTCACGTTACTAGTATAGTATGTACCTGTGTTTGCTTGTGCCATATGTTATATAATACATATTCCCTTCAAGCCAATCATTCAGCAATATGATCGATGGAAATTGCCTTTTTACCTCATGACATTTCTACCAGTTTGGCTGACTGCTACAGCTACGTAACTACATGGAAACAGATAAACTTATATGACCGTGTTGAGAAAATTGTAAAGAAACGAGTGAGCCCAACAGGAGTCACATATGATGCGTAACATCTCACCTAGCATCTGACGACAACCTCTAGGACTGGGCGTTCATTGGACAAATCCAATTTGACTTAACCAATGAGTGCGTGCTTTTTTTACGTTAGAGGGGCAGACGAGCAGACAGGTCACCTGATGGTAGGTGACTATCACCGCCCATGAACGTCTGCAGCTCAATAGTCACAAACGCGCCGGTCTTTTAGAAAGGAGTACGCTCTTTTCTTAAAAAAAAAGGGCAAAACTATCCAGGTAATGAGGATGAAAATTTTGGAACGATGGCGGAAAGTTGCGGCTTGTATTAGTCCGAACAATTTAATTATTTAATTAATTAATTAATTTAATTAATTAATTAATTAATTAATTTAATTAATTAATTTAATTAATTAATTTAATTAATTATTTAATTAATTTTCCGTCTCTTTTTACGGAACGCCTTTAACAGATTGCAGGAAATGGATAGGCAAATTTTACATCAAAAACGTGTTAATAAAATCTTCTAATAGTTTGTTGCCTGTGCTTTTCCATAGGATTTATCTAACAGGAACAAGCAATTAGAATCACGAGTTTTAACCGATACCTAATCCTGACAAATCAAAAATACGTATTTGATTTCGAAGTGAAGAGCAAGTTTATTCATCCTTCTTTTTCCTCCTTTTTAATACCAGGTTTTTGGTTGGTTTGTTTTAATACCAGGAGGTTGTTTTAATGCCAGAGAATAACCGCTGTTTCATGGCAACACTACAGTAATAATTAAGGCCGCGTTTTTCTTTTAAATCAATTTTATTTTATTATCATATATTAATGTGTATTTTGCAAATGAGAAACTATATTTTTAAATTACTTCAACAAACGAGGAGCTTCGCAATTAATTACATCGAATGCACTTCTCTCGTTCCATAGAATGTAATTAAATACTCAATGTATTTTGTTTATCGCTTTTCATCCTAAACCTTTATGTTTAAATGTATTGAATTATCGTAAAACAGCACAGCTACAACTCACATTTACATTTAAAAGATATTATGTTTGTATATAAATCACTCGTAAAATGTATTCATTTAAGTAGATTAATACACTTTACGAGAAATTTACATATTTTAAGGAGTACGTACAATATAAACGATCAAGTTCTTTTAAACTGGAGCTTTTAATGGCTTTTAAATACTGGTTTTCTTTAACGGTTTGAGATGGTAGTGTACTTTAAAAATAATAAGTACAATTATGAGTTGACGAAAAAGGCAAGAATAATACTTAATTGACTTAAAATCTTTAAACTTACTACGAGTATCTCAATGTGATTCCAAACTAATTTCACGCCACTTCGTCGTTAAATAATTGGTAAAAAATACATTTAATTATAATAGGTATGGTTCCGTGCAATAGTTGTTCGCAGAAGACCTACCGGTCAGTCTGATTGTGATTTGTTACACGCTGGTTAATGAGAAATATAAGGGAAAGTAAAAATGCCATATCTAAGTATTAAAATGACATAGACGCTGCAAAATATGAAATATTTGAAGTATTTGAAGTATCAAAATGAAGGCCTCCTAGGTATTGGATGGCCTAATAGGTTAGGATTCAGAGGGAACTAGGAGACGAAGCTGAGGTACGTGATCACGCAGGTATCAAATGGGAACAGGGAGTGGATCTGCATATGTATGTTGGAGAGGAATATAGAAGGGCGACATCATCTGGCAAACGTACTATTACACAGTATATAGATGAAAAAAATAACCTGATGAACGATTATATTTGTATATTTAATGCTCAAACTGTGATCAACAGTTAATAAATATATTTATATAGTTAATCTTTATTGTAGGATATAAACTAAACGTAAATCGGTGCTTTCGCATAAAAAGGATGCAAGCGCGCAGATTTATTACGATGGCGAATAATGTAATCGTAAGTACATACTAGACACGGCTACTGTAATTACTTTTGCTATCTGATTGTATTTAAAAGAGTTCAGAAAATTAAATGGCTGTTATTGATTTGTTTTAGTACCTAGATAGACCATTACACCAAAAGGAATTCATCATGAATCAAAAAGTTGTGTGTTTCCAGGAAACTTGAGTCGTAGTATTGGTAAGTGGACTGCACGGATGGCGTATTAGTTTAAGCAGTCGCAACGCCGCTTCCTACTACGTCGAGTGTTGTGGGTTCAAACCCCACATAGAACGACACTTTGTGTAATCCAAAAATTGTTGTTCTAAGTATGGGTGTCCTTTGTGTATGTTTCACGTGTGTTTGTAAAGTCGCCACAGGATATTCCTAATACGGGAGTTGTCCTTTTAAAAGAAAGAAAAATTATCCCCAGTATTGGACAGTGTTAAGGGGCATGAATAACAGTATACAATAATTACACATTAACATAGGCACCATGGGAGATAACATAAGTCGTAAAAAGGTGCTAATTAAAGTCTAATTAATAATGTGTCTGTTAGGCTTTCACATCGTCAGTAGGTACTCGTACTGGACCGATTGTAATACAATGTTTCATACTCGTTGTAATGCGTACAGAATAGAGCACCGAATTTTTATTGTATGATATAGTCTACTTTTATATAAAAATCGGTTGTCTGTAAAGTCGGTTTACTGACGATAGTTGAACGTGACAACGTCATAAGAAAATACTGATGGAATGGTAGCATTTTTCAAAAATGTATTATTGTATACGAGTAGCAGCTGTCCACGCGGACGCATCGCTCACTCAAGTAGGAGAGAGACAGATGTCGAACGCTGCCGAACGCGGAGGCCGATTGTGCCTCTTTGTCACTCGTTCCGCGCTCTCGCTTGCACTTCACGCCTTAAATGGAACGCCTCAGAGCGAGGTAACGCCGCATGAGTCATGTTTTTTCGGCAAAAACTGGAAAGCTTTAGGGAATATAAAAAGAAACTATGTTGAGCCAAGACTACAAAGTTACACTTACATTTGAAAAGAAACAAGTTAAGTTCACAACTTAAGTTGTTTTTGATTACTTTTCAATCGTTGTCACCCAACAAAAATGGACATTTTTCAAAAAAGAAACATTATTTCGAACGAATCTTTTATGTTACCAGTCGTTTCAATCGAAGTGCAACTATCGCACCTTATAAATAGAACCGCAAAAGACCTATGTAAATACTATATTGTTAAACAATTAACAGTATAATTTATGCAAAAAAAATTACCGCAAACCTTCAACCGCACCTCACTGTCCGTGTGAGTGTCTAATCCTAAACTAGGTAGGACCTGTACTATGTATGTTAATCAAACTGCTGATAAACATACTTTTATGCATTTTATGTTCGAGCTCATCAATTTTTTTTTTCCTAGGTGTTATTTAGTATAACTACCCACTAGACTAACAGGCTTTTTTTATAGTCAGTGCTAACAATTTACGCAAGTTTTTTTAAGGCATTCCTTCAAACAATAAACTCTAATTAGGCGAACCACTAATTGTGTGTTTTGTGTATATGACATTAATATTTATTTCCACTCTAATTATAATTAGCTTGTTTAATTCCCTATTGTTTCAACAATATAGTTAACTTTCGCACATGTTAAAATTGGTCGAATTTTGTAGCTTTTTACTTATAAGAACCGCAATCCAAGGCAAACAGGTCAATCTATCTGTCTAACTCGAGTAATAGGATATATCTAATTTTAGAGTGATCCCGTAAAAAACCGGGACAGGTGTCTCAGGAGGATATAGTACTTTAAACAAAGATCTGAACCCGTGTACCGAGACGATGACAACAATAGCACACCATATTGGCTAAAGCTGTCAATATTGACAAATGATTGTATTGTCACAGATGCAAGATGCCTGCGTGTGAAACCGCTAATTCAAGTTTCTACGCTCCGTGGCTGAACAAGTCCCAGCAGTGGGACGAGCCTATCAAACAATGCTGGCTTCCCACCACCACATCGGACTGCCAGATATCCTATCATCATGGAAATGAGCGGTGTACAGAGTGGGTGTATGAAATTCCTGACAGCTTTGTAGCTGAGGTATGTTAACATTCCAATAAGTAATCAGAGGCCCAAGTACGAGTTTTTTCATATCTACTCAATCGTGAAGGTGAGTTGACAAGCGTGATACTTTGTTAATTGTTCTGCCAATGTCTAGTGAGCACCCCCTCCCCCATTATTTCAGGGAGCGGGGGATATGGACTGAACGTTAGAAACACATTTTAATTTCTTAAGCTGCAGGTTTTCGTGGGCGACGGTAGCCAATTACTGTTAGGTGACTCGTCTGTTCGTTTCGCGTATTACATTGACGCTACATATACAGTCAAGGTGCACGGATGGCATAGTGGTTTAAGTGGTAACCTCGCCGCTTCCTACTGCGCTGAGTGTTATGGGTTCGATCCCCGCATGGAACTACAATTTGTGTGATCAACAAATTGTTGTTCTAAGTATGGGTGTTCTTTGTGTCCGTTTCATGTATGTTTGTAAAGTCCCCCACGACACAGGAATATGTTCCTAATGCGCGAGATGTGTTATAAAAACTAAAACAAGAAAACCACCAATACTTCAGCACTAATAACAACACAGCCCTTAATAAGCTTCTCGTTGAGCTCTCACGATCCTACACAATGACTTAAACACAATAGAATGCTAGAAGAGTTTAAGATATTGGAAAACATGAAGATAACAGCCTGGTAAACCAGCTTTCTTTCGAACAGAAACCTCCTTCAATCTGTGTGTCTGTGGGGTCGTCACACTTAAAACTATTCACTGTACTGTTTGATCAAACTACTACAAAACAAAGCCCATTTAAGACGAAAGAAGGGCGCTTTAAGTAGTTCGAACGCCTGTTTAATTACACCTGTAAGGCCAGCTAACGACCGGTACTACCAGCAGAGCGCGTTATTAATATCACTTTAAAACGCATTCAAAGCTCAAAACCTGTGAGACTTACGCGGACACGTATTAATGTGCCTCATTCACTCCTTAATTGACTCTTCTATATAATTACTGTGTGATTATTTTAAAGCGCTTGAGCACTTAGTTTTATTTGGTTTTCATTAAAATAATATATAAATAAGGTAAGCAGGGCGGACAACCCATCAGTTAATTGGCGTTTTTTTTTATAACGCGGTCCAAAGACACGAGGATAACAGTTATCGCTATCGATTCGATGTTTGCTTAATGAGGTTAATCGATACGAATAACTTGAAATACATGAAAATGCATTTCACTAATTAATAATTAAGAATCTAATAGCTCCCGTTAATTAATATAATCAGCGCTGTTATCAGTGGTAAATTAAGAAAATGAATGTACCATAGAGGTGTCTACACAACTCTAAACAAGGGGTAATAAAAAACTTAAAATTGTACAATTAGCAGACAATAGTTAAGGTAATTTACAAAGGCCACCGTGAACACTTTTCCCAATTCATTATATTGTTTATAATATGAACTGGAAAAACTGAGAAATTCATTTTAGTTTGTTTAGTTTAATTCAAGAAAAGAGCGTACTCCTTCCTCAAAGGCCGCCAACGCACTTGTGACTCCTGAGTTGCAGGCGTTCATGGGTGGCGGTAGTCGCTTTCCATGTCAAAAAATCCATGTCAGGTACAGAGGATACAATTGGGTGCCTGTAATCCCAAAAGAAAGCCTTGTTTTCGTTCAAGAACAGCAGTTTAGGTAAACTGACAAAGTCTACAATAATGCGAGTGAAGCCGCAAGCAATATCATGCCCTTTACCGGTTGAAAAGGGGGTGTGACTACGCTTGCAGTCACAGTCAAAGGGTTTTCTTTGTAAGTACTAAAAGAGCGTACCCCTTCCTAAAAGGAAGGCAACGCGTTTGTGACTCCTGAGTTGTAGACGTTCATGGGCGGCGTTGGTCACTTTCCATCAGGTGACTCGTCTGCCCCCTCTAACATAAAAAATTAATTATATTTTGACAATAATTGACATGCGTGAGCAAAAAATGATTCAATATTAATAAAAACAACTGCCGCCATTTTAGATACAATGTCGTTTATCCTTAATAATAACAACATATTTGTATAAAATGTTTCAGTTAAAAAAAGAAGTGCGTAGATAAATATCTAACCTTCAACTCACTAATGTTAGGGTAAACGTCCACGACTCAATGTCTGCTATGTACATTTACTATTTTAATTTGACAGCCGCAAACAATGTGACAGATGAAGAATTTCAGTGGCGCCATGTTGACGACAGATAATATAAATAATGAGAAATAAATGAGATTAAGTAGTCGGCAGAGTGTTAGAACTTTGTTAGAGTTGTTTAATTAAATATTGTAGTTTTCATGTACATTTTATACGTATAATTAACCATAATTATGAACAATTGAAAAGATGGTCAGGTTCAGGTAAAACTTGCTAAAATTAATGGGCTGGGAGAGCCATATTACGAGTATATGGTATTATTTATAAATTGATAGATATAGCGTCCCTTTGATAATCACTAATAGAATAGAATACAACGGATACTTGACTTTTGACATTTAGCGCTCCACTATATAGGTACGCACCAGGCATGGAGATCAATACGACAAGCTCGAAACCTCAGGCAGTTGAAATGGTTCAAACGACATGCCTTTGAACATTTTGAACTGCCTGGAAATTTTATAGTGCATTGAACACTTACAGATATATATAAAACTAAAATAAAATAGAGATAATAATAAACACATCACGCAAAATGATTGGGAACCAGAATGTCTCGTTAAGTCATCGAGCGTAAATAGGTATAAAATACCTATAATAAGTATTTATACCTATTTTGCTCGATGAATTAACGAGTGTATACCTATCGCCTTATAAGGCTGAAATATACACTTCACAATAAAACATAACATCAGCTTGTGTGTTTGAAATATGTTAGGTTCAAACACCTTGCCAGGGTCTCGCCTGTCGCAAAAGGCAACGTACAGCGATATAATATAATATTATACACACGGCCGTCTGATTCCAAACTCAGGCAGAGCCTGTACTATGATAGCCAGACTGCTGATAAACATACTTATACATTTTTAAACACATATATATATTATAGATAAATAACATCCAGACACAGAACAAATGTCCTGGGTGGGAATCGAACCCACGACCTCCGGCTTAGCAGTCAGGGCCACTAACCGCCAGACCAACAGGCCCGCCCCCCCGATATTAATACTTATTACGTAATTGAGGTAATTCCCAAAAATATAACCAGATATTTTTCCAATTTGAATTTCCATTAATATGCCTATTTAGACACGGGAAAGGAAAGTGGTATAAAAGAACGCAACTGTGACCAATGCTGCTCAGTCACAGTTCATAACAGCTGTATGGAATATAGTCACGTCATTGTAATTAAAATAACTTCTTACCTTTGTATTTAGAAACGGTCAAATAAGAAAGTAGGTACTGTCTAAAATAGTGGAATCAATAGTAATGGATACAGTTTTCCCAACTGCCAATACGGGCCTTCTTAGTGATAAAAAATATTACCTACGTTTAATTTCACGACTTTTCCTTAAAAGTCGAAATATCCTAGAAACTACATTATTGCTAGAGAATAAATAAAATTAAGAATGCTAATAACTATACTTTTACAATAACTCTACTTCTGCTTATAAACTGTTTGCAAATTTTGTTGTCAAGCATCCCACGTATTTTACAACCAAATTATTTATTTTATTAACAACTTAATTCGTATTTTGAGCTTATTTAATGTTTTAGTTATATTGAAGAACCTAATGCACTTTATTGTTTTCAGCACTTTCTTTCACTTCATAATAAACTCCTTATATATTGAAATTAACGTTTTGTATTTAGTTCGTATTTAATCTGTCTAATTTTGTAGTCTTGTATGGTCATCCTGTCCTTGTGCCAATAATTAGTTAATCAAACTATTGAAATTTGTGAAAACTATGAACGTTAAAATTTTATATTCCTAGATAGACAGGTCAAACTGATATAAAGCTTGCACAAATGAGACATACTTTTATGTATACCAGTTTTTCCCCGCGACTCCGCCCGCGTAAATGTCGGTTTCGCTCGTCGTTTAAAAGAATCAAAATATCTCCATACCAAATTTTATCGAAATCGGTTAAGCGGTTCTTGATTCCCCATACAAACTTCCACTTCCTTTTTTCACTACCTTAAAGTATGATTTCTGAGACCAGGACCGGGACCGGACCGGGACTCGGACTATCTCTATACAAAGTTTCATCTAAATCGGTTTAGCGGTTTAAGTGTGAAGAGGTAACAGACAGACAGACACACTTTCGCATTTATAATATTAGTACTCGTATGGATAAGTATCAAAGTAACTTGCCTTAAAATTACCAGAAACTTAGCCATCATAAGACAACAATTATTAAGATTAATGCCAGAAACTTGAAGAAAAACGAACTTGTAAAAAAGCAATAGAAATAGTTACTCAGACGTTATATAAATGTCTAGTTAACATGAAGTGTACAACACAAAATAAACGACACTCAGAGCGTATTAAGACAATCGGGAACAGGTACGAGCGTGCAACGGTTCTCAGAGCAAAGAGGGAAGCTATTTGCATAGTTTTTTGCTCAAGCGCCGACGAACGACCGGTCTGCGCGCCTCCGCACGTACTGCACTGCACTTGTGAACTGATGTTCTCCAATACAAGGCTGGGGTCTGGCTGACGTATTGTATATAACGTTGTGTGGGTTATAAATAAGTATTTTTGGAAAGAAGTTTCTTAACACTCTGAGCGGATTTGAGTGAGACCGAAAAATGTGTAATAAGACAAAAAAAATGACACTTCTTGCGGAACTTCGTTCTAAACGGGGGTCAATAGACCCTCACGCCGTGTTTTTTTTAAGATGGGCAAAAGAGTAGACGTGTCACCGCCGCCCGTTGCAAGCCTTTGCCCTACGTGCCCCAGAATTACGGGAAGGAAGGGCTCCGGTAATCCCACTCATTCTGTGAACAGCAACGAAAGAATTGCACGGAGGTTTTCTGTGAGTTCGTGTTATCACTCCGGTCGAAGTGGGCCATATGTGACGAAGCATGGCTCTTCCATGTTCAAACAAGTAACATTTCATGAAATAGAATCTTAGTTTAAGGTCATTTAACAATCAAGTGGCATGACAGAGGAGACTTCGACTATCATGTAGGGAGTCTCAACTTCGATTGAGTGTTTCTGTATGTAGGTGTACACATCACATCACATTAACAGCCTTTAATAGTCAACTGAGGACATAGGCCTCTCCTTAGAAAGGAGCTTTTGGCCTACTATACCACGCTGGTTAGACGGGTTGGCATATTGTTTGTGTCAAGTTTCTCTTCTCTTCGCAGTGTTGTTGTCCTGCAGAATTATGAATCTTCACTCCACTCCCTTAACTCGATCCAATGTAAGTGTAAGGAATGAATTTCCGACCTTGTCATGAGGTACTAAATATGTAAAATATGTTGCAGTTCGGCCTGGCCTGCGAGGACTGGAAGCCGACGCTGGTGGGCACCGCGCACAGCTTTGGCAGCATGCTGGGCCTACTCGTACAAGGACAGATCTCTGACAGGTATGCTCACAGACATCATTGATATGGAAGACCCTCTATCAGCCGCAGTATATTCGAATGGGTTTTCACCCTTGTCGTTCGGGTAAACATTCTAAATGGAATACTATATTCTTAAAGTAGATAATAACTATTTTCGACAGGACGGTGATACAGTGTGGAGGGAAAAGGTTCCTAAATTATGACTACTATATCTGCTGTAGATAGATGATAATGATGGTGTACCTTAGGGGTGGTTAAGTTACTTTTTAAAGAATATATTACATCTCAAAATATAGTCAAAATTAAGATTCCAAATAATGTTTTGCTTTGTAATTAATTGAGGAGCTATTGCGGTGTAGTGTTGGTTGTCGCTTTCTAACGACATAAGTTATCGTAACGTTATCATAACGTTTCAACAAAATTTGATAGACACAAGCATAATCTGTCTGCATCTTCGAATATACACTGTTGTAAATGTCTAATAGTTGTTTAACCTTCTATGTAAAACAGCCACAGTGTGTTGATCTATAATTTGTATGTAAAAGAGGCGACTTTAAACAATCTTTAAACAGTTTGTGAAAAAACGATATCTGACTAAAGAAATTGAAAGTTCTTCATAAAATCTTACTTGAATTAAGTTCATATTCATAGGCGAAGCTATAAAAAGGAATGTTCTTGCACCACAGATGCCTGTATAAACACAATTATTGCTTTTGAAATATTAATTGTGAGAAACCTCGCAATTCTGCACCTTAATAGCTCTGTTAATGTTATTCATATTCAATTAGACATGAACGCCGGGACATAAGTCTTCATAATGGAGTCTGCTTCAAATTAAGTGGCCGTACATGTATAAAAGTGGCGCGCCCCGGCTATTAGTCGTCGCGTAACTCTGTCCCATGAGTTATGTCCAGTCGATCTTTGTGTCTTAATAACCCCTTGCAGGCGATTTAAAGCATGTAGGATAAAAACATACATATATGAGACTCTGGGCAAAAACTATGTGGCAGATTGTGTGTTAAATTTATTTTATGCTATACGCTATATTCGTTGCCTTTTTTGGCGTGTGGTGATCCCTCTGTTTACTAACTGAACTAGCTTCTTTTTAATGTAGGTGTCTCACTAAATACATTTAACAAACAACGAATTTTTGTTTTTCAAGAACTGTCTGTTTTTCCAATACATTAGAATTAATAGTTAATCTCAGTAAGCATAACAAATACATAGTATTTTGTTGCGAGTCTAGTCTCACGGACTAATCGCATAACTTTGTAAATCTCAAGGCATGTAGTGGGCTGCGTGGTCGTGTAAGGTTTGCCCAGTACGAACACGCCCTAACTTTCGCTTGAGCGATGACCACCTTCACGAACAAAACTCCACCCCTAACAACTTGTTCAGACGGCACGAACGACCTATACTAATTTTTTTATTAATTTGCTGTACACGTACGTTTTATGTTCGTTTATGCCATTTATTTATGTTTTACACTAACTCTTTAGTATGTATATTATTACTAGCTGACCCGCGCAACTTCGTCTTCAAATCGGACCAGTAGTTCCTGAGATTAGCGCGTTCAAACAAACAAACAAACAAACAAACAAACTCTTCAGCTTTATAATATTAGTATAGATGGTAGATACACATTCGTGGCGCTCCGTAAACCGCAACTAAATTGCGTTTTATACTCTTGTGGAATATCAAACATACGAGTTACTCAATGGAAGATGACTTGTTTTAAACACAAGACAGGCGTTGCTGAACTTGCAAAAACCTTAACCCTACATTGTAGACCAAACACTTGGAAATTGTTCTTCGTTGTTTACTTAACATGTCTCAAGAGAAAAATCCACAAGTCTTAAATTTGTTGTGATGACAAATAGTTGTGTATTGGAAGGTTCGGACGCAAGACGGCAGCGGTGTTCGCGGGTACGATGGGCGCTGTACTGGGTCTCACCAAGAGCTTCGCCACCAACTTCTGGTGCTACGTGTGCCTGGAGGCGCTGGAGGCAGCCATCGGAGACGCTCTCTCGCCTATGTTCATGTTGAGTACGTAGCATTTTCTAACAGACGGAGCAAGAAATATAGAGCTTTTATTAGAAAAGTAGTAGTACTGTTGTATTCTGTCTGGTTAGTAGAGTCGCTCCTTGTTTATTTTCTTGCGTACATAAAATATGCTAAAGATGTAAGATAAATTGCCCAAGAATCTAACCTAACCAGGCACTGGGAATTACATACCCTAGTTATTCAGTGTTTCCGATACGACCTACAAACCTTTCAGAAAAGAGCATACCGCTTCCTAAAAGGCTGGCAACGCGTTTGTGACTCCTGAGTTGCAGACGTTCATGGGCGGCGATGGTCACTTTCCATCAATTGACCGGTCTGCTCGTCTGCCCCCTCTAACATAAAAAAAAGTAAATCGAGTTAATAAAATAAACTAAAAATATGATAGTAATATAAGTATTGAATGATTAACTAGTCAAGATAATTAGGCACGCTGTACATTTATTAAAGAAATAAAGATGTTTAACATTGACAAGTCCATTGTACTGTTGTTAGATCACAAACTAAGTAACAATTAGATCTCAATAATTTTTTTGTGTAAGCGAACTCTGACTTGCGAAACTTAATTTTGAACATGTGATTTTTATAAAAGGATATTACTCAACACTTATAGAGTTGTAGTCACACAGTTTGTTTACCAATATGACTCGTCATAATTACTTTTTGGAATTAGCTTAGTATAAACCGTAATAACTTCATTTAAACCAGTTATGAGTTTACTGCCATTTAACAGACTACATTCATACTAGTGTACAATGTGTGTACAATGTCACTACACGACACGAACTCCGCTATTCTGTAAGCCATGGACATAGACAACTCAATGACATATCGTGAGCTTGCATCGACGCACGTCCGATAAATTGTACACACCGGCTGCTGAATGCTGTCTAACATAGCTTTTATGTTACAATGTAATGTTGTGATCATAATTTATGTCTAGGACTACATATTTAGTTCGTGTTATTGTTCGTGTATTGAGTTTTCTTTTAATGATTACTCAATTGTCTGAATACTATTCGATATCAAGTTGGTCGACTACATAAAACTGATGTAGATGAAGCATTCATTAGGCTTATACTTTAAACTGCAACTTAAAATTGTCTCAAACAATGCATTCTAAATAGAGGTTTTAACTAAATTTTAATAACTGCTTTGAGCACCTTTTTTTTCTATACGGACCTCCCCTCGGATACCTTATGTCGGACTAGAACCGACCACAGCCCCTCTCCAGGCACCAGTAGCCGGGGAACCAGGTACACCCTAAAAAGGAAAGCTCTGGTACCCCGACTGCTTTGAGCACCTGACATAAAAATACTATATAACATTTCAAATAACCGAATAAGAAGACTTGTGGTTTTTGGGAAGAAAATTTACACGTTATTGCATTCAAATGACGCTGGTTTGTTTTTAATTCTTAAAAGTGAGGTAGGTAACCAAATTTACAGGGAACGCCTGAGTCGTTGCACTTTGGGCAGCGGCAGAAGATCCTAGCTCATTTGATTACTCTTATTCCAGGTATAGAAATAGTGGAGAAGAAGCGGGTAGTACTCTTCCAGATGATACTTCTAAACTGCTACACGTGCGGGCTAATCGTGATGCCTTTCATAGCATACATGGTACCCTACTGGAGGAGCTTCCTCCGAGTCATCTACGCGCCAACCCTTCTAATATTAGCATATGCTTTCTTCCTTGATGAGAGCATTCGATGGCTGTACAGCAAGGGGAAGAAAGACAGAGCTGTAAAGCTAATACAGAAAATTGCTAAAAGAAATAATGTGGAACTGGACAAGAGACAGCTGGATAGACTGGACTACTTCGATGAAGAGACTAAGCGTGGTCAAGTCAGCGACAGGCTGGTATTATTGAAGACCTTTAAATCGAAGATTATGATGAAAAGGTGGGTGACGCTTACTAAGTAAAAAAATGGAGTCGAATCCAGATGTTCCCATGATCAAGTTGATCTCTTTTCAGGTTTGTCATCTGCATGGTGTGGTGGTTTACGATCACCTTAATCAACTACGGTATGATGATTAGCTCGGTACTGATTGCTGGTAACAAGTACGTGAATTTTGCCCTCCTCATGCTGATGGACATACCCTCCAACGTGTTCTACTGGTTGGTACTCTCCAAGTACAAGAGGAAACTGCCACTGTTGATGGCATTCTTTGTCGGCGGAGTGTTTTGTATTTCACAGCCGTTTGTACCCAAAGGTAACATACAATTGTTTTATACTAATCTTGAAAATTTTTGAACTTATTTTAATGATTTTCTTGACTTGATTTTAAAACTGAAAGCCGCTTTCGAATACACGTTAAATCTTAGACCCTTGCCATTGTAAATCGCCATTGCTAATTACGTCGTAATCAACTGACTAGTTACTTCCATCCCTCAAAGAATACTCAAATCCTAATGTTAGACATACATGAAACCCGATATCTAATGAGGAACTCCGTTTCACTTAAGCTTACGCTTGGCTGGGCGTGGCGCTGTTCATGGCGTTCGAGATGCTGGCGACGTTCTCGTACAACATCGTGTACATTTACACCTCGGAGCTGTTCCCCACTTACACACGCAACTCCATGCATGCCATATGCTCAGCTGTAGGACGGATGGGATCGCTCCTTGCGCCGCAGACACCTTTATTGGTAAGTATTAATTAACTCATATCAAATCTTATATCTATAGATATTCAAATTACTTGACTGACTGACTGACTCATCAACGCAGAGCGCGGGGCTATAAACTTGAAGTTTTGCTAGCTGATGCTTTATATGTTATAAGACCCATGGTTATATTGAGGTTCGTCATATTCAAAGTTAGAAAACACATGAAATAATCACATTAGCGAAGCCGCTGGCAATAGCCACCTGATGTATAAAAACGTGAAGACATTTGCTTGGTTCGATCACAGTGATCGAGGGTTCGATTCCCGCTTAATGCAAATATTACTATAATTGAAAATGTATAGTTGCATCGTTGCATGTTTGTTTGTATATTCATATAAAATGTAGTATCGTGTAGTAAAGTAGTATCGAAGTTCGTTAATCGCAGGGTTCCAGAACCCATGATGCAAGCTATGCTTGTTTAGGCTTCGGTATACCTATACACCCAGTTTTTTTTATATTAAATAAAACTCCCGCATTAGGAATATATCCTGTGTCGCGGGGCACTTTACAAACATACATGAAACGGACACAAAGAACACCCAGACTCAGAACAACAATTTGTGGATCACACAAAGTGTCATCCCATGTGGAGTTTGAACCCACAACACTCGACGTAGTAGGAAGCGGCGTGGCGACCGCTAAAACATCTACGCCATCCGTGCAGTCAGATGTCAGTCCTGTGGTCGGAGAACGCACTAGTACAGACACATCATTAAATCAGACTGGCCTCAAATTTCTCTCTCAACATATCTTAATACCTTACACCCTACATTTTCTCTTCCTCAGATGTCTTATTGGTATGGACTGCCAACATTCCTCTTCGGAGTTACGTCCATCCTATCCGGGTGTTTAACGCTGTTCATGCCAGAGACGGCGAACACCGAGCTGCCAGACACAGTAGACGAGGCCGAGCAAATTGGACGAACGCCAAAGTCTCAGGCCCCTCTGCTCCCAGAAGAAGAAAAAAATCCGGATAAAGTCACATAGACGAGTGCGGCTTGGACGAGAATGATCACGAATTTAAACAAGAAAATTAGCAAAGGTTTTTGTGGTAATTGTAGTACGTACGTATTGTAACAGAATAAGAAGCTATATATTTGTACATAAACGAATATTGAGATTCTCGTTGCGTTAGAAGTGTTTGTGGACTTTTAATCGAAGTACCTCTAGACTAGACAGGCCCTAAATCTAGATAGAGAAGATTTTAGTGTCTATTTATTTATTGTTTTTATACACAAATAAATTATAAATTATTAATATTTTCAATTGAAAGGATTACACATAACGTGAAAACGTAACGTTATGGTACATACGAGTAACAATATGTTACCTTATGAGATGTCTGTAAATACAATTGAATAAAATATATAAAACACATTTAAGTGTGTGTTTATGTTTTACCTCATTTCAGCAAGCAATCTCAAGGTTTTTTTGCCATTCAAAAATTTTTATTAACACGCTTACCTTCTCTAAATATTACAAATGAATATTAGTCAGTTAGAAATTATTAGTAGTGTTGTAGGTATAGTTATGTGCTCACAATAAATTATAATTAAATAGCACGATAAAATGGAGGCGGACGTCTCCTGCAGCGACACTAGCGCTACCAAACGTAATTAAGACGTGACATATGTTCATCTTCAATTGGTGCCGTTGTACACGTCGGACTTACAATCATAATTTAAACCAACAACCGTGGCTATTAGTAAGCTGTAAATAAAGTTCATTAAAATTAATAGATAAGTATTTACTGATAATAGGATAGATGAGTCAAATCAAATCAGTATCTTTTTATTGAACGTCAAAACGATAGACGCGGTACAGTTTTGTAAGAAATACTATGGCGTGACGTCATATCTAGCTATTGTCAAACAATTTATATTTAAGTAATGTTGGCTTGAAGATATCAAATCAATAAAACATTAAACTGATAAGTAATGGCGGATAATTCAGGCTGTACTTTAATAAAAATAATTTATTTTGAAACTTAGGAATCTACCCTATTATCAAAAACTGACTTGTGACGAGCATCGCTTTATTTATTTGAAAACGAAAGTTTATTGTGTTATATTTAGCTTTCTTTCGCTTGAAAGAGCGAAATTATTAGATAGTCATTTGGGATTAAATAGTAAAAAATTAATAATGAGATTTTAAACATTAGCCATTTGCAGGAGGTTCTAAAGTAAATTGAACGGTATTCTATCGTCTTCATTACCACAAAACTGTGTTGAAAATCTTAATCAAAATTCCATACAACTTTATACTTTCATTATTTTACTTTCACCGCCTTTACACTTGAAAAATATTCCTTAAACTTCTTAAATATAAAGAAAATGACTAGCTTTACTGCAGGAATTACATATGAAACCCATAACATAAAACATTGCCTAAAAAATTTAAGCCAAATATTTAAAAAAATCTTAAACAAGGGTCCTAGTTTTATCAGCCGGGTCGTTTGACTTAAAAAACAAATATGTTTACCATACAAACAGTAAGGAGACGGTGGAAGCTTGCCGGCCGCGGTTAGACGTTTGTCTTTCCATTAGCGGGCCGTGTCGCGCTCTCGCGCCTCCACCGTAAACACTGAGCGCTCTCTGGCAAGGGACACCCTCGTTACCAACACATGGCCACAATACCGCTAGACGCCTTCACCGATGTATAATAAGAAGACTTCAAGTAATTAGTGTGTTATCCATTACTGTTTGTTTTAGATGTCTGATAATGGTGATCTAAGAGATAGATAGCTACTATTTTTAGTTTAGTTAAATTTTATTTAGGGAAGAATTTTTGGTCGGAACCTTAACTTGTGTTTGACCCAATCTCAGATTTTCCCTTATAACGATATTTGCCAAACGGTCATTTGTTTTAGTTTATGCTCTCATTAAGTTAGTAATTTTAAAGGTTTAAGGCTTTTTCTGTACATTTTTGTCTTTAAAAAACAGTGTAAGAAGTTGCTGGAATTTGCTATTTCCTCAGTAAGCAACGTTCTATGGTAATCAACTGACGATGTATGTCATCGCTATTAATATTTACTATCTGTCGGTAAAATCAGACGGTACAGTTAGTGTCGCGCGAGCGCCTGTGGGGGAGGAGGACGGGAGCGCGGCACAAAAGCACCTGTCTGCGCGAACGACGACCTTGCACCTTGCGCGTGCGCGCGGCCCACTCGGAATATTTAAGGGCATTGAAAGGAGACGATACACTATAGGCTGATTGCATAACAAACACCATACGACACACGCTGTATGGCAAATTACTTATAGTAAGCATACATTCACATGCAATATTTTCAGTATCTTGTAGTGGCGGAATAAGCAAGATTCATTGTCTAAGGCCGTTGGAGCTAATAGGTCCTGAATCGAAGAAAAAAGGAAGGTAATTCACCTACAGCCAGATGAACTAGTGCTCCGAAGATTGGATGTGCTTGTGGAGGTCTGGATGCTATACTGCGTTTTGGAAGAGGTCTATAATCAGCAATAGCAATAGGCCGATTGATTGAAAGATCGCCATGGGGCAAGACGGACAAGAAGCAGTCATAGTTGTGTAAAACAAAGCGCACCACCCATTTGTACTGGCAGTGGCCAGTGGTATAGACGGGTCTACCCTTTATAGCAGAACTTTTTATGTTACAATTTTATTTTGCATTACAACGGATAGCATAAATTTCATTTTGTAGAAAATCGTCCACCAAGATTCTGCCAGATAGAGGGAACCCGGTACAGACACAAACGGAAGACTATTTAGAGTTCTCAGTTTGTATATCACCTCAAGCAAGACTTCCATTAAATTTATTTACTTAGAAAAAGCGTATGTTTAGAAAATAGTACATAAATATAATAATATGTTAGTTTATGTGAATACGAAGAGAGCTACGGCAGTTCGTAACGACATAAAATCACGTACCTTCGTGAGTCGTGATCAAATGAACTGCCTTCTGAAGTCATCCACTATTTTTTACGAGCGCATGTCTGATTTTTTCCACATTTCATATAGTCCAATCGATTACTCGCCAACGTGAAGTGGCAAAAAACTTGAATAGGAAAATGGTCGATTCGCGACAGCCCATTTTGTGATATCCAATTATATTCAATGTTCGGGGCTTCACAATAGCATTCGTAATCGGCTAATTGTTTCGACCTTCGAGGGAGCCTCTGTAAGAACACTTACGAAACCCTCTCTACAAAGGAGGAACGTTTACTCCCATTATAGATTAAAATATCTTGTTTCACGGCTCATAACAAGAAATACGGTTACTAACCATTATTCATAGAACGGTATAAAAATTTATGAATTTGCTGACTGTCAGGTATGTATTGCGCCCGGACCAAACCTACTACAGACCTTCGAAACAGACACATCTTTCGTTTGCATATTGTGTTAATGCTAAAGAAAACTGAGCACTCGTTTTTGCTCACCGACAGGGACGGCAATATTGTCTCGACAGGTCAAAAGAGACAGATGAAGCAATCGTGAAGAGTCCACTAGAAGCTTAAGTTTCACTTGAAGATGATACCGAGGCTGTGTAAGCCTGTTGACCTATCAACTGGTGTATTAGAAACTTAATGAAGATCTGTCCAGAGGCTTCAGACTTTTTATGTGTGTGTGTTCTCTTTAAGCTGTCTTATTGGAACAGTGTGCCTGTGCCTGGCTGTGTATCAACAAATAATCAAAGAACAAAGAATCATTTTATTTAATACACCTATGTATCTTCTATTACATTTTGCATTACCATCAGAAGGGTGTCAACCTCGGTGTTGTTAATCTATGTAATATCGTGTGGGCATAGGATCGTAAACGTTTAATGTTAATATATAATAGTAATAATTATGTCGTAAAACAATATTAGATGTAAAGCGGTATTTCCTGGTGTGGAGTAAATTATGACGGATTAGCGTTGAGGTTTATAGCTTACGATCAAATCAACCAAGCTCATTCAAAGCTGTTTACGCTGCTATAAATATAAAATACGATATATAGATGTCGATGGAAGCCATAAACAGCTTGCAATATTAATACTAATGGCTAGTTATTGACGGCTCTAAATTATTGAAATATTTGCTATAAGTTCAAAGAGAAAAATCCATTAATCGTAAAAAGCGTGAGGTGCCAGATCTTAATTGTTGTAAAAATATTTTACGAACTGGTAAAAGTTAAGTTATTACCATAAAATGATTTTTCTTTTTGAACTTATAAAAAAATATTTCCTAGGTACTTTTTATTTCGGCGAGCTACAAATGCGTGTTTTTTTTAGTTTTTAGTAACAATTTTTCCTTTTTTAGTCATTAATGATGATTATTATCTTATTAAGACTAAAAAAGTAACAAGTAAGCACACGCCTTAGTAAGTGGCAAAAAACACAACCGTATTTTTAATCCTGAATTTCCTGGTCAGGATAATGGGTCAAACTATTCAAATTATTGTATTGTCATCGGTCCTGGATAAGTGTGCGAAGTTTCAAGTTAATTCGACATTTTGAAGTGGGTCAAAATCACGTTCGAAGATTCCGTTACATGCATCGATATATGTATACGTACATACTCGTACATACCAAGCTAATAAAAGCGTGTTAAAAAAAATGATTTTATGCTGAGACATCCTTTTTTTGAAACAGTTGACTTACTTCGGGAAATTGCGGGATACTTCTTTATTTAATTTTAGTATTAGAATTATATAACATCAACGATTCTCTTTACATTTATTCTAACACCTAGATCTATCTGTCTATTTACCGTGAGTGTTAACATCGTACCGCAGCGCTTTTGTTCAAATGTGCACGAACAGGTATTATCAAATCCAAATGTGCATTTATTAGTATTGTATCTTACATAATCGATCAAACATAGCTAGAAATGTTATACTAAAACTCTAGCCTATTTAGTATTTCGATATATCCATCCGTAAATATATCAGCCTTCTCCGACCTTATTTTTACTATTTTTTTTATTATTTTTTATTTTATTTAAAGTAAAGATTTACAAAATTTGTTT